GTGACAGCTCAGCTTGGGCGCAGCGTCACTGGCCCATGTAGGAATCCAACCGGCGGCCCTGTTGCTCAGAGCTCGCGTTCTTAAGCCAACTCTTAACCAACTGAGCCACTTGGCCGGCCCCCCTGCCCACTCTTTAAGGCTCAGCCCAGGCCCTGGCCTCAGTGACAACCCTTAGGGGCCACTCCCTCTGGAAGGTTCCCAAAGCTTGGATGGCCTATTCCTTTCACCTGACACATTTCATAGGCTGCTTGGTTGTGTCATGTGCCTTTTAAATTGTAATTCCAGGCACTTGGTAGAATTTAGATTGTGAGCCGAACGAGAGCGGGTCCCTAATCAAATATTGCCCAGGAGAAACATTTGAGGAACATAGCCCAGGTTCCTGGGGCTAGCTTCTCCTGGTTTCGTTCCTGCTCTGTGCAGCCATCAGCGAGCAGAGTACCTGGAGCATATTATTATATCTCGGCTGCACCCATAAACACTCTCTTTCAATGCATTATTCTTTAATGTCAGGCCTCTTGCTTTTATAGAGAGTCGATATAAGAATCATCTGGTTGAATAACATTTCAGTGTATTTTGTAAAACTGCAGTTGAAGACGTCGTTCTCTATGTCACTCACTGTTCTTTACACAAGGAGCCTCACGATAAATTCTGGTTGGTGTTTGGTTCCAGGAAGAAATTCTATTTTTGCAGATACATTTGTTAGTACGCTTCCTGCTGTCAGCAAATGAAAACTCTGTGACTCTGGGTGCCTCTCTTTCTGCTTCGTGGCTAGATAAGAGAGCATCAGATTTATTGCCTGTGTGTTTTAATCTGCTCAGCTGTGGGGTCCAAAAGCACTTACTCCTTCTGCTCCTTTTAAATGGACTTATTTTATGTCCAAATGTCTCATTATACTTTTGCAAAATGTGTAAGTCTGGAAGTCATCTGGAAAAGCATTGATTTGGCCTATGTATTGCCTGTGCTGGCTGCTAGGGGTACAGAGATTAATTGGACTGCACCCAGATATCTAGGAGCTCACATTTTAGCATGGAGAAGAGCTATGGAAATAAATAATTACAAAACAAGGCTGTTGCTCTAACAGAGGTGCATGAGACTGGAGGACAAAGCAGACTTGGGGGAAGCCAAGGAAGGCTTCATGGAGGAGGTCAAGGTTGAATTGGTTTTGGGGTTAGAGTGGGAAGAGGATGTTGAATGGCACAATACATGTGTCTAAATCTGGAATCGATAAATAGTTATCTTTTTATGCATGTGTCCCCTCATACTGGCTAGAGTGAAACCCTTGGAAGGCAGGCACTGGTTCTCTATTCCTCTGTAGGCCCCACGATGCTTAGCACAGGGCTGAGGGCAGTGTAGTGTGGTGGTTAGAGCGTGGGATCTGGAGCTAAGCTGTCTGGGTTTGCATCCTTAACTGAGTAAAGTTAGGCAGGCTTATGTAAATCCCTTTGGCCTTTAACTGTAAAGTGTGGATCATAGTAGTATGTAGCTCATGGGAATTTTAGGAGCATTAAAGAAATAAATACATAAAAAGCTTAAAATCATGTTTGACACATGGCAAAGTACTCCAGAAATGTTTGCTGATGAGTCTCATTTGCGTTACTGGCAATACCATACTATGCCATTTAGGGTAGCTAGTACAATGAAGTGGGAAAAACACACACTGAATTCAGCAAAACACTCTCAACTCAAGCAAGCTGAATCTAGTCCAGTTAGTATCATTTCCAAATGATGCCTAATTTAAAAATAACACTGCTTTATTGTTTCCCGAAAAAGTGTGTGGGAGTAGGCCCTGCTTTAAGTACACCAATATCTTTTGTTTGTTGTTGATATCCTTAGAACTGGTTATTGATGTGTCTCTTAAAGGAACCTCCAACCCCCAACTCTGGCTGTCACATCTATGGGGCTTCCTGGGCCCAATGCTTCTTCTGTTCCACTACTGTCTTTGTTGGTTTCCCTGTCCACTGACTTTCAGAAGGACCAGGACAGGCAGTACATGAAGCGAGAGCCATCATCTGGATTTTCAGCCAGTAAGGAAAGTAGAAGTCATCATTGGAGCACACACACACATGCCCCAAATTGGCCTCTGAACGGATGCTTGTCTGTGTGCAAATAGTGTGGTGGTAAATGTTTAAGAACGGGCTCTACGAGGCAAACAAAGTCCCAATTGATAACATCTGTCAATTTCCTGGTGTAAAGGCTCACACCATGGCTGATTTCAAGCTGTCAGTTTAATGTCACTGGATGTGGAATTAGGATAGTATTTCCATTACACAGACAGTAGATGTCAGTGACTCCAGAGCAATGATAATATAAACTGTAGTAAATCAATTAGGAAGTGATGATTTTGAGTATTTGTTACCTGTGGTTTTTTAATACAATTTATTTAATTCTAAGTTTTTATAATTTAATTTTAAGCAACAACTGTGCTTAACCAGGGCTCCCCCAATTCCTGAAACGGTGACAATCGCTCTTCCGACTTGGACCGAGTCAGGTCTGGAACAACTGGCTCTAGCTTTTCCCTTCATCAATCTACAATCTCTCCCACCTCTCATTTCACCACTAAATCCTTGCTCCTTTGACATACGAGATTGCTTTTATACAAATTCTCTTGGGCATTTGTCTACTCATACATACAGAGCCATATTCTTACGCAAAATACATGAGAAAACGTCTCCTGCTCAGACCTGCTCATTACTGTCTCCCCCAAAACAACCAACCTCACCTCCACTTTCATGGTAACTTAGGAACATGGAGGCAAAAGAAAGAAACAATACCAAAGGGAATACACAAAACAGAGGGTGAGGGGAAGTGAAGAGGGGAAGAAACAGATGAAGGAAACAGACTAGGAAGAGGGAAGGGAACACGAGACACACAAAAAGCCGAGAAACAGGGGGACGAGAGCAGATGTAGTCACTGCTTCGCTTCTCCATTGGACGCCCATTACAGACCATCAGGAAGCCACACAGCTGCGTTGCTTTTGTTCTTATAGGAGCCTTGGGTCCCAGCCTTCAGCCCCAGGGCGGGCCTGAAGGGTGAGGGTTAAGGCAGGAAACGGCTCTATAAACAACCTATTGTGTTGAGAGGTTTCTCTCAGTGAGAAAACTTCCCTTCTGAACTGTGGTCACCTGGGACGCAGGGGCACTGGTGCTTCCACATCTCCATCAGACAAGCTCCTAAGGAGTTTGGACAGCAACATGGCATTTAATCTCAAAATGGCAGCTGGGAGATGTTAGCAGTTCCTCTCTAATTGGAATAGTATGCTTTTAAAATAAATAGGTATTTCAAATGCTCTTAATTAGACTTCCAGCCAAAGGGCTTTCCGTTTGAAGTTGGCTGATTACTTCAGGCAAAGCGGGGCCCTGCTGAACCTGACACCTGCTGTAATTCAGAAGAAAGCTCCCCGAGAGGGAGCCGAGGAATTACCAAGAAGCATGTGGCTGAAGCTGTGCAATAGTTTCCCAAGGGCCCAGGAGGGCCAGGGACTCGGGGACAGAGAGGGGGGAGCACCCCTTGCCCCAACAGCCACGGAAATGGCTTTCCCATGCTCAGGTGAAAACGGCCCCGGAGTTAGTTGTTTGAGTGGTGTTTTCCACATCATTGTTTCTAGTCAACCAGCATCATGAAAACTGGAGGAGCCAGATGGCGACCCTTAGGGAGGACTCTCCATTTAGTGATTTACCGAGGAGGCCCCAAGGTCACCTTGGCGCGACTTCCTCACAGAGGTCACTGTGCCCTTCCCAAGCCCAGCCTTACTAGTTAGGGCCCTGGGGGACCCCTGGCTCTTCGCTGAAGGCACCGGGCAGAATCTCAGCTGTGAGTTTGTCTCTGGCAAGGGGAGGGCAGGCCTGGCATGTTTACCGGACCCCTCAGTCCTGGGGCCGACAACGGGGCGCCAAAGCTCCAGTCAGTGTGTCTTAGGCTTCCTTGTTCCATGTTTCTGATAGAACCAGTAGTTATTTGCTATGATCATTGTTATTACTGAAACTAAACCACCAACCTTCCTAATTATCCAAGTTACTAGGGTCAAATGGGTCATCCTCAGGACTTTGGGGCTCTCCTCCATGTCCCCCCTGAGATCTTGGGTGCTGGATTTCTCTAGTTACAGGTCATGCCAGGGCCAGGCCATCCCTAGGGGAATCCCTTGTTTGGAATATGCAACTTGCTTGTTTAATCGAAGCTCTCTATGTGGTTGGTCCCAGGCTAGGCGGCTAGGAAACAAGCAGATCCTGCCCACGATGCTGCTGCGTCAGCCTTTCTGGGAGCTGCACGCTCCTCCCAGGTGACGTTCTTGGGCCACCTATCAAAAGGGAGCACTTTCTGCAGATGTCCCCTGCCTAAAAGGTGCCACGGGCCTCTTAGAATATCACTGTGTTGGTTTAATGTTTGCATTATTAATGTATTGAAGTGTTTCCACCATTGTTGTGGGCAGTAAATAGCATGGGGGCGAAGAGCACCAAGTTTGGACTCAGAGAACTGGGTTCAAATCCTACTTTCAACACTTAGCAGCCATAAGAAACTTGGGCAAGTCATTGAATTGCCTTCATACAGAAAATGCACTTTCCTCTTAGGACGGGTGTGAGGACGAAGGGAGACAGAGCACATAAAGTAGTGCACAGAGATGGTTCAGCAAACAGAAGCTGTTTTTATCGCCAGTCCTTACTGTTAGGATTAGTTAGTGGTGGCTCTAGACAACCCAGGGTAGGACCCTGAGGGGCTGGGACAGAAGGGGTGAATTTAGGTTGAGGTGTGGGATGGAAAAGGTCAGGAGGAGGAGACAGCAGCTGAGAGAGTGGGGTGCCAGGTACTCACAGCTGGGACCAAGCACACAGGTGGGGGAAACGGGTCCCAGAGAGGAGGGGCATCCTAAGAGAGCTGCCCTGACAGCACACCTTGCCTTCCTTCTCCTCCCCGAGGGCTTCAGATGGGCTGTCTGTCAGCTACGTGTGGACACATGCGCTTGTATTACCTTTACCTTCCTCCTGCAGGCTCTGTTTTGTACCCACCTAGAGCTACTTGCTGCAGGTGCCGCTGGGTGATTTCTTCCTTCAGGCGACCTATCAGGCACAAAGGAAAACCACTAGTGAGTTCCCAATGGGCTGGAGGAAGACTTGGTCTCAGAAGCAAGTGACAAGCTAAAAAAAAAAAAAAGGTAGAGTAAGGGAAACCAAAGTGGGCACTGCTTCCAGGACAAGCCCTTCTGTGCCCTGGATTTTGTTGGAAGAAGAGGCTGCAGAGGCCGGGCTCTGGCACATCACTGCCAAAATACATTTCAGCTTTGGGTTCATATCTTAGTCTGTCACCGATAATCTTTGCTAGGGCTCTGTTCTCTTATATAGGGAGGCAGGATTTAATATTTTAATAATTTATAGGGCCACTTTTAAACCCACTTCATTCTTTTAAGCTATATGAAATTGTGTCAGATAATAATGATGGTGGTTTTGACTGATGATAACCTTAATATGAACACAACAGTTGATCATTTGGTATGAAACACAAAAACTTCTAGGTTGCATTAATAAAAGTATAGAGTGTAGATCAAGGGAGGTGATAGCGGCTTCATACTCTGCAGTGGTCAGACCAGAGTTGGTATTTGTTCTGGGAGTTACTTTTTGTTTTTACTTTTTTAGCTGAGCCATCCTGCCACCTGTTGGCAGCTCAGCAGCAGCTCAGCTCGGGCCGGACTCGAACCGCTGTTGCTCAGAGCTCAAACCTTTGAGTGAGCTCTTAACCAACTGAGCCACTCGGCCAGCCCTTGGGAGTTACATTTTATAAAGAATATTAGTACAATAGAAAATATTTAGAAGATGGTGACTTGGATGGTGAGGGGTCTGAAACCATGCTGTATGAGAAATATCTGAGGTGACCTGAGACATTTAGGTGGGGAAGAAAATGCTTGCAGGGAGAGGAGGTATGGAGATAATGGCTATCTTTACAAATCTAAGCGCTGTCAGATGGATGAGAAAACAGATACATTTTTGTCCTCCTGCTGAAGGCAAAAGTCAAGTTGAATGAAGGCAGACTTGGGGCTCAATCTGAGGAAGAAACAGCTCATAATGAGGACTGTCTCAACATGGATTAAATTGTCTCAAAATGGACTAAGTCTCCTGGTTAATCAGTGAGCTCCTTACTGAAAGTACTCATGCAGAAGCTGGGTGACCACGTGTTGGGCTATTAATGTGAGAATTCCTGCCCTGAGTGGTGGCAGTTGGGACGAAATGACCTCCAAGGTTCTCCATTGCTAAAACTCCGTGATTTCATGCTTGAAGGATGGATGAAACAGCAGCCCTGGGGTTTGTTTATGTCCAAGGGCTCAGCACACTTATTAAAACGTCAGTTCTGTCTATGTCACGGGCCCCATTTGGGAGATGTGATCAGGCCACTGAGAGATTCCAAGAAAGCCTGGGAACTTCATTGCTCCAGTGTATAATATATTTCTTTCTTATCATAAAGTACATTCTACATCTCAAAGACTATCACTGAACTGAGTTTTCAAAAGATGAGTAGACACTAAAGCAGTCATAGGAGATCTTGGCCCTCACTGAAAGTTCTAGGGCACTCCTAAAATGTTATGACTGGGAAGGATGGCAGAGGTCATTCAGCTTAACTTCTCACCCAATTTAGGAAGCCCTTCTACAGAATAAAATGGTCATTTCACTTCCGACTTGTATGTATCCAGGCTGTTCTACTAATTAAACTGCATATAAGGAATTACTGATGTAGCCACGACACCTGCTACTTTGTAACTTTCAGATTTGGACCTGGTCTGTTCTCTGAAACAGCATAGAAACAGGATCCTCTCTCGTTGGCAGCGAGAGCCCTTCACATATCTGAGGATGCTACGATTTCTCCACTTGGACTTGTCCTTTCTGGGTTAAACACCACCAGTTCTTTCCGCTCCCCCGGAGGCTGCTGTTTCCAGGCATGTCATCGTGCAAGTCTGCACCTTGCCTTCGGTGTGTCCTTACTGGAGAGGACTGTGCACAGAGAGGAAGCCAAGGATTGTGCATGACCCAGAATTGCACCCTAATTCCAAGTGTGGGATGGTGGGAACTCAGAGAGTTGGGGAGGTGGAAACTTGACCCAAGGATGAGTATTGGAACCAACAGAAACATGACCTGAAACTCAGGGCAGCCGCAGCCACAGATGGGCTCGCCTCCCCCTCTGAGCGGCATGACCCTTATTTTCTTTATCAGCAAAGGGAAGGAATTGGGGACCTGGGGGGCAGATAGGCTGAGACTCCAGTCTGCTGGAATCAAATATTGCTGACTTGAATTTTAAAGAAGTGTAGCACATACAGCCTTCAAATTAAAGGAGATGGTGCTGTGACAAATGCAACACTCCACTGAGACACATCTCTTGATTAAGAGTAGGTCATTAGGGGCTTTGTTGTGTCTGCAGTGTGGAGAGCCAATGCTACCTTGGTGCCTGGCCTGTTTCCTGGGTTTCTGGCACAGGTGCCTCGCACCATGAGCCTCCTGTGTGCCGGGGTCCCTCCTTCCTAATGAGGTTGGACAGTGACCTGCTCTGGTAGCGCACACACTGGGTTGTATTCCTCCTGGAAAACTACCTCCCTGACATGGAGCCTTCTTGACAACTTGCCTCCCTGACACGTGCCTCCCCACCTCACACCTTGCGCCGAGTAGGTGCTCAGCCTAGCATGTCATGACTTCCCTGCTTCAATTGGAATGACCGGGCTCCCTCTCCCAAACCCTGGGGAAGCTATTTTGGAATGGTGGGCTTAAGGAGTCTTCACAGCCCCCAGCCTGGGAAGAGCTGCTCACGGAAATAAAGAGGGGGATTTTTGCCACCAGGACTGAAAGTTCTATAATCTCCGCAAACATAAATACCTCCTCCCAGAACAATGAGCTAGCCCGAGGGGACAAAAGTGGGTCTTTTTAACGCTCCATATCGATGAAGGTAGGCTTAAAACATGTTTAGTGACGCTCAGTTTTGGCGAATTGGCTAACATCTCTCATCACACAGAAAGTTTTGTTTTTGAGATCTTCCCAAACAAGCTTCTTAAAATAGCCTTATGGATGATACCTAATTGCATTTTCCAACAGAGCCATTCTTCACGTGAAGATAAGTCTCTATAATCTGCTGGATCTTGCAGCTCCACGGGTTTTGGCAAAAGGAGGAGTTGAGGGGAACTGCAGAATTCACTCAGCATGCAGCTTGCTGTCATGAGCATGCTGATAAATTTGCTGCTTTTGGCCTGGCTTCCTGGACACATCCCCATCCTGAGGTATGGTAAAGAGATGAAGCGGCAAGAGAGAACTCCCAGCCTGAGGCAGGAGGCATTCTGGGAGGGAAGCAGGGGAGGGGAGGAGAGCTCAGCTTGTAGGAGAATGGTAATTAGTCATTTTTGTCTCCAGCAATTTACAACAGTGCATGCCAGAAACACCTTCTCTCCCTTTCTGATTCATTAATTGACAGTGGGGGTGGCAGCAGCAGGTAGAGGGATACACTGAGCCTGCAGCGACGCGGGGAGCTCCACAGGCACTGCACGGCCTCAGAAGCAACCCTGTGCAGGGTATGGGGAGGCAGGGCCCGGCGTGGTATGCAGTTTCTCCTCACCAAGTAGTGCATGTGAAAAGTATTAGCATCACACAGAAGAAGCGATGCTCGTTTCTTGCATTGATATTCAGTCTTCTGGATCAAACGATTTTCCTTAAGCGTCACACTATTTTGCACGCATGTTAGTTTGGAATCATTCACCAAGTGAAAGCTGCTTAGCTGGTCCAGAGCAGAGCTATTCACTTGCGACTCCCCTAGTACTGCTGTGGCAGGTGGCTAGAGCAATTTCTGTGTCTTATTGAAGATATGGTGCAGCCGTCCCATAGTAGCTATTTAGGCTCATCCATTGTATGTTAAGCACTCTGTTCTAAGCACTGCGGAATACACCAATGAGTAGAAGACTCTATCCTAGCCAAAGAAAGTTAGCATGGCACAGGGGACGGCAAACAGGTGGCCCGGGTGCTCTTCTTGTAAAAGCTAGGCCCGTGGCTGGCTTTGTTCCTTCATCGTGGATGGTCTGCTTTCCTGCTGAACCTGGATCTGGCTTTTCAGCACTTTGGGCACCTATAACCCATTACAGCAATACCTTGGTTCATGAGCATAATTCATTCTGGAAACAAACTACTCGTTTGCAAGACATTGCTTGTTTACCACGTTAAAGTGTGTTAGAAATGTTTGCTTGTCTTGTGGAACACTCGCAAACCACATTACTCGCAATCCAAGGTTTTACTGTACTTGGAATTGAGACGAAGCAAACCTTTTTGCCATTTCAGTTATACTAGAAAGTCATTGCAAATTTGTCGGTAGACAGGGTTCAATTCAAATCCCAATTCTGCTACTTCCTAGTTGGGCAGGTGACTTCACATCTCTAAGCCTCAATTTTATTATTTGAAAAATGGGAATAATATAACTGTGATAATATCTGATTTACTGTATCTCAAGATTCTTGGGAGGGTCAAGGGGTAACGTACCAGCATAAGTGATAACACCACACTAGTTTTAGGTATTAAGGCACTTTCAGACATATTGGAGGGATACTATATACATGCAATGACAGGCCCTACAGGCCAAGTGGCTAAATGTCAGATCACTAGTAGAGGTAAGCTTAGAGGAGGAAAAGGTGGGTCAGTGGCATTAGGAAAGGCTGATTACTAAAGCTGAGATTTGAGTAGATCCTCAGAAGAGCAGAGGTTTTAAGGTGGGGTTGGGAAAGTCATTCCAGCCAAAGAGGACTGTTGGGCAGTAGCGGGGTGAAGGCCAGGTGTACATTGGCTTGGGAAGGGGCTGGAGGGGAGGAGTAGGATTGGGGGAGAAGGAGTCCCATTTATACTAGAGCTCAGGGTCCTAGGGCTCTGGACTCAGGTCAGGTTAGTTCCTCTGTTTAACTATGCTGCTGCAGTACTCCAGTAAAATCAACTGATAATGAATATCGGTAGCAGAATTGGGGTGAGGGGAGAGGACACAGATTATGTTCCCTGTCTGAGGAGCCTCTTTGAAAGGGAAGGTCTGGTTAGTGCTTCTGAATTAGGGTGTTGAT